AAAATCTTAAAATAATGATTAAATGGTGATTTAAATTACTTTACTTGAAATGATTACCGTCCCTGTTCACTACTCGGGAGTTACGTCACTGCGCCCATATATAAAGCCGAAATCGTAATAGTTATGATCTCTATAATAAAAACATAATTTACACGTTAAAATTAGATTTCAATATTCCCGAACAAATTTAATAGTTATTTTATGAATTATATTTTTTTGATCACACTTCATGTACAACCGTCATTTTCAGATAAAATTTTTTAGAAAATAAAAATATTAAAATGGTTATTTATAAATACGCAGCCTCCGTTACAACTATTAAAAAATGATCGAAAATCAATTTAAGGATTGTTCTTGATCAAAAAAAAATTAAATTAAGAATTACCGATGTTTCAATTTTATTTTTGGTCCCTTATATAAAGTTCTTGCTAAACGGTTTCCATCGATTAAAATGCCTTTAGAAACCAGAGGAGGCGGCGTGTTATAAAATAAACACGTTTTTAGGACTTAAGAAATGTTTTAGCTTTATCTCTAAATTTTACTATTAATTTCTGGCTTGATTTCAAATCTTACTCATGAAATCATAGTCGAATACTACAGGTAAGTATATTTTTTAAGTTGTTAAGTTATTGCTGACAAATTTTAAGCTGCAACAACAATAAAAAAAAGTCGGCGTAGATATTTTTCCACAAAAACCCATAATTCGGTTTAGTAAATTTTCTTAAATATATTTACGATATTTTCATAAATGCGAACTATAAATACAAATACTATGTCAAATTCAAAACTTAATCGTAAAATAAATATAAAGTTAACAACACTTAGGTGATACAAGTTTACTTATTGCAATCAATTTTTAGGTTAGGTGCGTTTTTTTCATCTTTCATGCATTATTCCTTCTCCTCATCGCTATCTTCCACATCATCAATATCATCATCGTCCTCCTCAGACAAGATGCCATTGCCTCGACTACAGCTATGCGGTGCAGCAACAGCAGTACCACTGCTATCCACAACACCAGGCGCACCGCCACTCAATGCCTGGCTCAACAGGTGTGAGTGAGGTGCACGCTTGCTTTGATTGGAACGTCGCCATTTAGCGCGACGATTTTGAAACCACGTTTTCACTTGACGATCGGAAAGTTTGAGTTGCAGTGCCAGATGGCGACGTTCTTCAGGTGAGAGATACTTTGAGCTGGCGAAACGATTTTCGAGATTTTTTGTCTGCTGAGAGGTGAAACGAATTTGACCACCTTTCCGCTTAACACCGAAGTTGGGCATATAAAAGCCGGCATAGGCAGCATTGCAATAGAGTGCAGCAGCAGCGGCGCCGTTCGGGAAGCCTGGAAGAGAGTGTGGAGAAGGCGATAGTTTTTAATAAATTTGCATGAAGAGAAGAAATAAAGGTGCATATGTTTAAAGGGCGGCTAGATCTTAAAAATTTACTTGAAAAAGAAACGGCCCTACGCAATGCAAACGGTGGTTTGTAACAGCCTAAAAGAATCAAGATATATATAGACATAGGTATATGTGTATTAGGGCGGGTCAATTTGTATGGGAGATTTTTTCAACTAGGCGCGTATAGCGCAGAAGGATTCTACATATAATTATAAGTAAATTTTGCGAAAAACCCAAACCAAAATCAATTTCGAAAAAAATTTTCTTAGCTTATTGCTTTAGTGTCGTAAATAAGTGCTAAAATTTTGCATAAAAAAATGCTTGAAGGGATTTTTTGGCATGAAGAATCTATTTCTGCGCTTATATTTTTCCTAAAACGACCCCCAGAGGGCGCGACAGTGGACATTTTCATAATAAAAAAAAAACATTTTCATAAAAAAATTATAAAATTACCGAGTACCAACTAGTAGCTTACCAAAACCAACGAAATGGGTGTGAGGACTTCACCGTTTGACATGTAGATTTTTTTTTTTAATTTTTTGCTTGTTTTTTTTTTAATTATTTAAATTTTTTATAAAAGTATAGCTTATTGTCTAACGAAAACCTCATAAATCCAAAATATTAGGCGAAGTTGCACAACAACTACAATTAAGAAATATTTGCTTTTTATAACTTGCACTTTGTTATACTAAAATTTAATGAGCTGCACACTTAGAGTTGGAGAAAGAAAAAAAAACAAAGAAAAAGAATTGTTTTTTTTTGTGGGACTTTGTGAAACTTTTAGAATTTTTGTGCAAAGTTTTAAATTGGGATTTATATGGTTTTGTTTGACAATGAGCTATAAACTCTTTCAAAAATAAATCGCCCAAACCGCGTAATTGTAATTCTATTTCATTTGAATCACCCTACACCAACCACTTGTTACTATTAAATGACATTTGATTGGTGCTCGGCGGCCATTAATATGGATTTTTAGCTAAAACAACAACAATAGAAATATAGCCATGTATAGGCTTTAAAACTCGACGAATACACACAGCCAATATGCTCATCTCAGTCACTCGCTGCTTACGCAATATTGCGTTACTCAACTTTACTTTCTCGCTCTTTCACATAGCATAGCTGTATTTCTAGCGTTCCGCCATAGCAAAAAATGTGTACTACGATATTACGAATACAGCAATAAAAAGCCAATTACTGCCATAATTGGTATATCATTTGCTGTTGGCGTGTGGGCTTAACGGTATCGTGCAATAAATAGCAAACACAACATATTATAGATAAAAATTTATAGATATATTTTTGATAAGATAATAATAGATAACTTTGATAAGAATAAATACAATATACATATGTACATACATATCTGTGGACTTTTGTGCCTTCTGTAGCTTCGAATTTAGAGTAAATTACAAGGAACTTCCATTCAAAAATTTTATATTTTTATTTAACTTTCATTAAGATATCATCTTGAACTACTCCTATTAATGACTAAAAACAAATATATCATTCGAAAACTCAACGAATTATTCCTTTGAAAAGAAAGTGACCTCACTCGAGAGAAGTTGTTTTGTCAAAAGTCCACAGATATGTAGCAGCGCAGAAGAATTTGAACTTCGAACATATTTCAGTAAGCTTCTTATTTCTAAGTTCTTCTGCATTTATGTAAGTAGGCACAAACAAAAAAAAAATGATGATTTTTCACGCAATGGTCTTCGGTTTGGTTAAAATTTTGCTGACAGAAGCTGACTGAATATTCTTTCTTTTAACTTTTCTCTTAAGAGATTTTGTCACGTTAGATTCTTCAAGGACGGGGGGAAGCTTTATGCTAGATATCGGAGCTCTCTCATCTCAGGTCGTCTAGTAGAGGAAGAAGACTCTTTAATAGAGTGCCAAGTATTATGTGACCCCTTAGAAATTTTACAAAGTAGTACTTAGAAGCTTTATGTCGAAAATCAAGAAAACTTAGAGCTGTTATTGGGTGCTATGAAACACCCACGAGTCCTACTCCACGGGATTATTTGCAGGGTGACAATTGGACATTGAGCAGCTGTGATTCAAGGTTACTTGAATTGGCGACTAAATAATCTGCGAACTGCGGACTTGCCGTAAAGCCTAGTAGGACGTAACTTGTCCTGCTCACTAGATTTACTATAAGATACCTCGAGCGACTCTACCCCTAATTGCAGGCAGGGCCGCCGCTGGCAGTTTGTGCGCCCGCGTGCAATACGGATTATGCCGCCCTATGACTACATATTATGCTGAGTTTTGTTAAAAAAAGTTTTTTTTTTTAATTTTTTCCATCATGGAAGGTACAAATAAAAAAAATTTAAATGAATACAAACATTTATTTTGATTAGGTACTTAGAGATATTTTTTTATTTAAGTGTAAAAGTAAAATAATACATATGTATATTACAAAAGCTTAACTCTTCTTGCCTTTATATTTGAGAAATCTTCTATCAACTTTCTTGTATCCAAGCTGTCTAAAATTTCATGTTCAATTGAATCTATAGCTAAATTACTAAGTCTGTGTTGAACCATTGTTGATCTTAAATAGTTTTTAATAATTTTTAATTTTGAAAATGATCTTTCACCAGATGCAACTGAAACCGGTAGTGTAAGTAATATTCTTAGCGCTATTGCTGTGTTCGGAAACGTTGAAATTAAGTCATTGGTAAAAAGATATTGTAATATGGTTAGTGGATCATTAGACTGGTTTTCAGCAAATGCAACTTTAATGATTTGATTTCATTAAACAGATCAATACCGTCAATGTCTGAGTCACTACTTGAATCATCTTTAAGCTTCAGATTCAAATCTTTACAGTGTTTCATTAACTCATCATTGGAGTAATTAAATAAATTAACGCTAAAAAAGCCAAATACGTCGGTATATGTTTGTAGCTCCTCGAATCTATCCTTCAAAGAAATTATTGTCTGATCTAAGATTCTAAAAAAAAACTCTACTCTATATTTGATTTTGGGATCTACTAAAACTTCATCAGTGTGTTCATATTGAAATTGAATTGGTTTTTTTCTTGGACGAATGGTATTTATAGGAGGGAAATCTGTGTCAACATTGAGTTCGTGAGCCACTTTGGAAGATTCTGCTAAAACAATTTCAAAGTGTTCATCCGTGCGATATTCTGTAAACTTATCAATCAATTTACTTACTAAATTTATGCAGATTTGAGTATTCATTGTGGGGCTCTGCATCATTTTCCTCAAAGCATTTATTTCGTTTAAGATATCGAACCAAATTACTACCGAGCAAATAAATCTATAATTTTGAATATTTAAAGCAAGCGAATGAGCTTTGTGAGATGTAATACAATCCCATTCCGACGAATTATTAGATATTTCTAGCAAAGCGTCAAATATTTTTTCGAGATGATACCGTAATGGCTTAACTGCATCGATTCTGCTAGACCATCGCGTAGCACTTAAAGCTTTTAATTTTAAATCTGGCAAATGTTTGCAAATAATCGACCACCTTTTTGTAGATGATGAAAAGAAAACGTAAATTTCTTGAATTATATTAAAGAAATTCATAGTTTCGTGGGTAATGTTTGCTGCATCGTTCACTACCAAATTAAGACTATGGGCTGAGCATGGGACATAAAATGCGCGGTTATTTATTTCCAAAATTTTTTTTTGTAGTCCATTGTGTTTTCCACACATATTAGAACCGTTATAATAACCTTGACCACGTAAGTTTTGAATGTTGAGATTTAATTGTGAAAATAAATCCAAAACAAAATTGAATAGACCTTCACCGGTGGAGCTGGTGATCGGACAGAAACCAACGAAATTTTCACATATCTCAACATTATTGGTTTTGTGATTTAAAAAAACATGCCTTAGTACAACTGTTATTTGCTCTGTGTGACTTACATCTGGTGTACAATCCAATATAATGGAGAAATATTTTGATTCTCTCACTTCGTTTAATATATATTTTTTTATAGTCGCCGCTAGCATATCAATTATTTCATTCTGAATTTGATCTCCTAAATAGTGAGTCATATGACTTGAATCTGATTTCGAGGATTGAATTCTGTCAATATGTTCCCGCATAACTGTATCAAAGGATGCTATCATTTCAATTGCTTTTAGAAAATTACCATTATTATGTTCATATAATGTTTTTGACGACCCCCGGAAAGCCAGACACTGTCTGGATAAAAACTTGATAACTGCTATAATTCTTTCTAATACATCACACCATTGTTTTTTTTTCGATTCTAATAGTCGCAGTTGCATTTGATTTACAGTAGTTTTATTTTTTAACATATTTTTTAATTGTACCCACGATTTCACATTTTCACTGTGGTAAGCACTTGTTTCATGTCTTTTAAGGGTTAATGATAAATGCTGCCAATCAGAAAACCCGTTCAAAGCAGACAAACTACTAACAGATTTACCAAATATTTTACAACAAAAACAATAGACTGAATCTTTTGAAGTGGAGTAAACAAGCCATTCTCTTTTAATTTTTTCTCCATTGGCCAGATTTCTATAATAGTAATTGTCTGTGAATTTTCTTCCATCGTCATTCATAGGAAAATTGCTGCTTGACACCTGTATGGGACCACGACTAACCAAAATATTTACAATTTCATTAGTCATACTGGCAGGCCACAAACCGGGATCATCACTACAATCTAAATTGCTACATATTACTAATGATGGCGCTACATTTCTCACAGGTTCTTCAGTTGTTTTACTGGACTCTCCTGTTTGCTCAGATACGTCCATGGCTTCTTGATTTATAGATGTGCCTGATAAAGCAACGGCAACATTTTCTTCACTCTCCGTTTCCTTATTTGCTGGCCTGCTTAAAAATTTCACTAAAGAACCCGCCAATTTTTCTTTCTGTTCCTCCTTTTCTCGTTTTTGCTGTCGAAATTTTGCTCCTGAAAATTTTTTCCTTTTCTGCGGTTCCTGAAATTATTTCTTAACATTAAGGGCCATAGTAAATAAACGTGGGTAAGTACTTACCATAGTCGCGATTACTTTGCACTTCTGTTTTGCACTGGCAGGTGATACTTTTGATTATAATCACGTTAATAAAGTTTAACTATCAATAATTATTCATTTTCCCACTTCAGACGAACTATTGACAAAATAATTGCAATTTAATGTGCGATCGTTGCTGTTTATCCATCATGCCAATTACGTACAAGTAGTATGCACAAATATCTAGCTAACCTACAAACTGAGAAATAAACTCACTGGGGATTTCCCTAACTAAATATTGCTGACTACTTCTTGTAAAAATGTCAAACGATCAGCTGTTTGGCAATTTACATCCCTGCAGGAACAGTGACACTCATTTCATGCAACATTTGTATCAGCACGTTAAGAGCAGTGTGAAAAAAAAGATGCAAGGGTTCACTAATTTCGAGTAGGAGTGTGAATGTGTTTGTGGGGAAATTGACAGACAGTAATTCAGTGAGTATAGTCTCTATATTATTTTATTTTATGTTATTTAATTTATTTTATTTTATTTTATGTTATTTACATACATATATTTGCGATGTTTCGCTGAACAGTCGTCAAACAACTGATTACAAAACATACATATGTACCTTCTTCTCGCAGTGCATAGAGAGTGCTTGCCTTGTACGTGTGCGCTTATCGGTGTGAGAGCAATAAAACTCTCCGCACATGTGCTAGCTTTTGAGCGTCGCTGCTTTAAATAATATGTGATGAATCGCTCGATTTGCCGCCCCCCTTCGACGTGCCGCCCGCGTGCAGTGCACGCCTTGCACGCCCGGTTACGGCGGCCCTGATTGCAGGCATTCGCTTTCCGATCAGAGCCAAGTACTGGGTTTTAATAGATTAGAAGCTGTCAATGCCTAATAATGGCACCTAATAGTCAAAAATATACCAGTGGCTCTGTACTGCTGCTCTGGGAAAGAAAATAGGTAAGAGAGGAGAGAAGTCACTTCATGACCGTATGAAATCATAGTTAATACTGTCGTTTTTTAGGCAGTTCTCGTCTGGTTGAATGCACTAGAGCAGACCACTAGTTAGAACGCTGGACCGGGTGCAGCGGGTAGCCCTGATTGGAATCAGTGGTATATTTTGGACCACTCCAACTCAAATACCTAACAGAGCGCCCATTGATTTCGTAGGTAAGGTTGCTGCAACAATGACTTAGGCTAGACTTAGAGTCAGGGTGATTTATTTGATTTAGAATCTGGTCACTCTAGTATTCTTGAAAGCTTAAACCTCATGTGTTTTAATATGGATCACTGCGTGGCTAGACTGGCACAAATTAAATCTTTCTCTACGCAGATTCACCCTTGGGATGAGTGGACGAGAAACAGAACGAAGTACGAGGGGAGCACTGGTGAACTTCTACATGGACGGGTCGAAACTTCACGCAAGGGTTGATGTAGAGGTCTTTTGCAAGGATCTCTCTATTAATAATAGATTTAGTGTTTTCCAGGCAGAGGTTGAGGTAATCAAGGCCTTCGGATCGCTTAAAGTTCGCTCTTGGATTCTGGGAGGATGCCTGATCTTCTTTTTCGTTGCTTCTGATTATTTACTACGTACCCTGGTCATGTTTCACGAAACTGCTCTGCGGATAAGTTGGCCAGTAAAGTCATCCACGAGTGGATCTCACCTATAAAAGATGGGGTGGCGTTCCCTGTGGATAAGTTGTGAATTGCTCTTGGACAGTTGGGTCTTGAATCAGCTTAGCGAATGCTGGGCGAAAATGAGGACATATTCAACTGCACAACATTTCTGGCCGAAGGTGTATCCCAGACAGTGTAGGGACTTTTTTTTTGGCTTACAAAGCCGTAACTCTTAGTGATACACAATACCAAGGAACCGGATACGGGGAATCGGATCCTTTAATGAACCGACCGGAACAAAAACCGAAAACGGCTCTTAAGGAATTGAAACTCGAGTACAAAAACCCGAAAAGTGGTTCCAAAAGAAACGAAGAACGATTCCACGTTACCCGAAAAACGGTTTATAACAATTGAAAAATAGTTTATTTTATCGGATAAATGAAAAATTCTTGAGCCGACAAAAAGTTGTTGATAATCAAGCAATTGAATTTATTATAAACTATTTTGATCACAAGAATCGATGATAGTGGCCTAGGTTTTCCTGAGAAAATGTGAATAGCGCCGGCACAAACAAAAAGAAAAAACCTGGTGTGTGGTTTTAACAAGACCCACCTACCCACATGTATTTCGACCCGCTGAATCCGAATATGAGGCCTTGATTGACACTAGTCATTTGCGAAAATTGTGGAAAAAAATGGCAACAAATGCGCAATTTTCGTCATTTACTTGAAATTTTGAGGGTGTACGAGTCAAACGGACTCCAGATTTGGATACACCGGGTCGAAATACATGTCGGTACGTAGGTCTAGTTAAATGCCCCGACCACTTTTTTTTGTGTGCCGGTGTAGTTTGCAAGTCTCATCATAGATCAGCGGCAATTCTTACGCCGATACTAGTTTTTTAAATGGCTTAAGAAATCTCTGACGCATACAATTGCAATAAGTATGTGTATCTCTTAAAAGTGGAAATTTAAGTGACAATAGTGTCAGTCAATGTAAGTGTCTATTGGATAAACTATCACTCCCTTGCTTTTAGAAAAAATTTATATTTTTATATGAATTTACACAACAGTCTACCAAGTCCTCCCCTCCTCCCGTAGTAAACTAAAGTAGTAAGAAGACGACGTCAACATACATACATATGTACATCGATTATAGGTGTGTAATTGATTAATGAGCATTTTTGTTTGCACTGCTTGCTGTCGGCTGTGTGTGGCTCCAATGCCTCCACCGAAAATTCGGTGGCAGCTAAGCGCCAAGCTGTTCCACACAAAATAATGTCTACGCATGTAAGTAAATATGCACATTGTATTTACAAAACTACGAGCACTAAACCAATGCGTTTATTTATTTATTTATTGCTTCAAA